TTTACGCTCGCTTTGAGAGGGAGAATACTACAGCTGCATCCAAGGCAGCCATTTCCCCAGACCACCAGCCACTGACTCTCCTCTCCACCGACGTAGGAGCGGTTCTGAGCGGGATTAAAGCCAACAAGGCTGCGGGCCCTGATGGCATCCCCGGACGTGTCCTCAGAGCATGCTCTGGGGAACTGGCGGGGGTGCTGACAGACATCTTCAACCTGTCCCTGGCCCGCGCTGTGGTGCCGACCTGCTTCAAGACCACCTCCATCATCCCCATCCCCAAGAACTCCAATCCATCCAGACTCAACGACTGCCGCCCGCTAGCCCTCACCCCCATCATCACCAAGTGCTCTGAGCGGCTGGTTCTAGCACACCTCAGATCCTGCCTCCCCCCCACACTGGACCCCCACCAATTTGCTTACAGGCAGAATAGGAGCACAGAGGATGAAGTCTCCATAGCGCTGCACTCTGTCCTCGCACACCTGGATAGCAACCACACTTATGCCAGAATGCTGTTCTTGGACTTCAGCTCAGCATTTAACACGGTCATCCCATCACAGCTCACCGCCAAACTCTCAGACCTGGGCATCAGCTCACTAATGTGCAACTGGCTGCTCGACTTCCTGACCAGCCGCCCCCAGCATGTCCGGCTGGATAATCACGTATCATCCACCATCACCATAAACACCGGAGTGCCACAAGGCTGCGTGATGAGTCCCTTCCTCTACTCCCTCCTCACCCACGACTGCAGACCTGTCCATGGCTCAAACGCCATCATCAAGTTTGCAGACGACACCACGGTGATCGGCCTCATCAGAGACAACGATGAGGCCGCCTACAGGGAGGAGGTGGACCGTCTGGCTGAGTGGTGCGACTCAAACAACCTGCAGCTGAACACAGAGAAGACCAAGGAGCTCATCGTGGACTTCAGGAAGAACGCCGACCCACACCCCCCCATCCACATCAAGGGTACGGCGGTGGAGCGTGTGGACAGCTTCAAGTTCCTGGGTGTCCACATCTCTGAGGACCTGACCTGGACGACCAGCTGCTCCAAACTCATCAAGAAGGCCCACCAGCGCCTCTTCTTCATGAGGACCCTGCGGAAGAACCATCTGTCCACAGAGATCCTCACGAACTTCTACCGCTGTACCATCGAGAGCATCCTCACCAACTGTATCACAGTTTGGTATGGGAACTGCTCTGCCTCGGACCGGAAGGCGCTGCAGAGGGTGGGGAAAACCGCCCAGCGCATCGCCGGGGCACCGCTTCCTGCCATCCAGGACATCTACAGGAAGCGGTGTCTGAAAAGGGCCGGGAAAATCAGCAAGGACCCCACTCACCCTGCACACAGACTATTCTCTCTCCTGCCCTCTGGGAGGCGTTACAGAAGCATACGGACTAAAACCACCAGGCACCGGAACAGCTTCTTCCCCAGAGCTGTCACGCTTCTGAACGCCTCATGACACGAACTATAAGGACTGTACTCCCATCCCCCTACACAACAATAACCATGGACGCTCCTCACACATACCACAAACTGCTTCCTCACACGCATTCACAATCCGTGTACCGTATTTTCACGACTATAAGGCGCACTTAAACGTCTTTTTTTTCCCTCAAAATGTGCGGTGCGCCCTATGGTGCGGTGCGCCCTATGTGTGTTGTAACTGCGACTTTTGAGACCACCTCATTGAGGAGATGATGAAAGAGTGGCTGAATGTAAGGAGACCAGGTGTTTTTTTTCCCACCCCTCACCATCGCTGTTAATATGTAACTCCATGCGTGCCCATCTCACAGCTGATGTGAAAAACATGGGGAAACAAATTAACCCTGTGCTCGCTGTTCAACCGCTCGACATCGGTGTGAACCGGACCCAGCAGGTGCAGCAGAAGCAGCGAGTTTACATGCAAAGTCAATGGTTGACGCGCGTATAGGTGCAGCAAAAGGTCCTGCAGCGCATTTTGATGCAGCACGTCGGGAGCGTTTAAGCATCTGCCAACGCGCTGCTGCTGCTCAGATGGAAAAATTGAAGTTTTGCTGCTGGACGCGCCGCATCAACCAATCAGAGAAGCTGATCTGGGAGCTGACAGCGAGACACAGCGCTCTGATGATATTAACGCAAATGAAAAGGCTGGGTGGATGCGTGGCTGAGGCAGGTGTATGTGAGGAGACCAGGTGCTTTTTTCCACGCATCACCATCGCTGCGTGCCCATCTCACAGCCGATGTGAAAAAAAGATGAATCAAATGAACGCTGTGCTCGCCGTTATCCCGGGGGGTCTGACAAAGGAACTTCCACTGCTCGACATCGGTGTGAGGCGGCCGTTCAAAGTAAGGCTGCGAGCGGCGTGGGAGCGATGGATGACCGACGGAGACCACAGTTTCATGATAAATGGAAGGCAGCGCCGGGCAAGTTACGCCACCGTTTGCGGATGGATTGTAGATGGACTGTGTCTGCTGGCTCTGTTCTTCAAGCTTTCGCAAAAGCCGGCATTATTTCTGAGGAGCTGCGCTGCACGGAAAGTGACTCTGACAGCGAAGAAGGGGAAACTGGCATGTCTGATTTAGCGCAGCTGTTTTATTCAGAGGAATGCTGAGGATAACAGAGGATGATGACTTTGATGGGTTTGATTAATACTTTGTAATAAATACATGAATAAAGCACAATCATACTCAGGTTTGCTTCCGCTCTATTTTTCTACCTGAAAACTTAATTCAACAGCCGCGGGCGCGTCTCCTCCTCTTCAGCGCGGCGGGTGGCAGGTGTTTTTTCATCTAAATAATCTAAATCTTGCAGCTATATTTGCTGTGATCAGTGTGAATAAAGTAGTTTTAATATGTTTTTAAGTGAGAAAGTCCACCTGAAAACTTAATAATTGCAGTCAGTTCATCCAGATTATCTATTTCTGTCGGAGGCGCTCAGACCCCCACATACCAGCGGTGCACCGACAGTAAATCCCTTCAACAGCAGCCTCACCGCGGCGGCTGGCAGGTGTTTTTCATCTAAATAATTTTAGCTGCAGGCACCAGGATACCGGCAATAAAAGCGAACATATTCCGTCGGCAGGTTTCAGGATTTTAAGTTAATTTAAGAGTGATCACAGCGCTGTGTCATCTGCGATGTGTCTGTCTCACGGCCAGCTCCCAGGTTTGATTAATACTTTGTAATAAATACATGAATAAAGCACAGTCATACTCAGTTTTGCCCCCGCTGTATTTTTAAATACGCAGTAGAGGTATTTAAAGGTAGTAGAGGACATGTACCTGTATATAAAAAACGCGCCCTATAGTCCGGTGCGCCTTATGTGTGTGTTAAATACAGAAATGGGACACATAACTGAGAGTGCGCCTTTTAGTCCGGTGCGCCTTATGGTCGTGAAAATACGGTATATAATATGTCAACTTGTACCATACATTATAACCCCACTAATATATATATTTATATGATCCAGGTAACATCTCTGTATAGTTGTATACATGTATATAGTGTCTATATTCATTTACAGCCTCAATCACTGTTAATGCTGTTATACTGTTTATACATACATTTTATAGTCTATTTATACATACCCTCTGTACACTTGTAATGCATATTTATATCCTGTATAGCACTTCTGGATAGATGCTAACTGCATTTCGTTGCTTGTACTTGTGACAGTGCAATGACAATAAAGTTGAATTCTATTCTATTCTATATATATATATTAGGGGTGGAACGGTTCACAAAATCCGCGGTTCGGTTTACGCTTCGTGGTCACTGTTTTCGGTTCGGTATATGTTGATTGTTAGGAAAATCTATTATGTCTTGTACAACGCGTGTTGCACAATGCTTGCACACTGTTTTTATCCACAACTTTCTTTCCGCCGTCATCGTAGGTCACTCTAAATGCAAAGTGGTCGCATACAGCAGACCTATAAAGTGCTGCTGGCACGTCTTCCAACTAGGGTTGCCATTTCTATAGCACCAAAAAGGAGGACATTGTGCGGCATATCAATAAATTACTAAGGTGTACATAAGAATCAGGTAAAGTCACATTTATAGCACAATTCTTAGTAGTTTAAAGATGATGCTTGTGTAGCTGAATAGAGAGAGATGTAAAAAAAGAATTGGTTCCCAGCATTTGTATTTATTTAATACATTGTGGTGTTTAAAAAGTGACAATTTTTTGACACGATTAATTTGCGCAGAACTGCTGCAATTGATCATAAAGCAGTTGTTTGGAAAAGAAGCTCGAGGCAGAAGAAGAGCTAGAGAATAGGACGATACAAATTTCAAAAAGTGGCTGGAAAAGAGGAATTCGTGACATGGCTGCAGCCTGTCAAGTGCAAAGATGATTTCACCATGTTATTTATCTATCTATCTATCTATCTATCTATCTATCTATCTATCTATCTATCTATCTATCTATCTATCTATCTATCTATCTATCTATCTATCTATCTATCTATATATATATATATATATATATAGATATCTATATCTATATCTATATCTATATCTATATCTATATCTATATATATATATATATATATATATATATATATATATATATATATATATATATATATATACAAACTTCAGTCATGGAACTGTGCAGTCATGGAACATCATCTCTTCATCCATTCCTGCAATAAGAATTTTCTTTTAAAGTTGTGAGATTCACTCTAGAATCTCACAACTTCTTCCTGGTCTGTTGAAGCACCAATAGTCTGCATCCAATTATTTAATTAATTGCTCTTAGTTTTTTTTGGATAGTTTTTTGGACTTCCTAAAATCCTGAAATTTAGGATTTTAGGGGCTCTAATAATAAAAATAAATATAATAGAATTATATCATAACAACTAATATAATTCTAATATAATTCTTATTGAACAACAACTAAGAGATAAAGACAAATTTCATCAGTCCATTGTTTTATTTTTTTATGTTAGATACAAAAGTATGTTAGATATACTTTTGTATCACATCTTTATTTCTGTAATAGATGGTAAACAGCTACTGTATCCTACAGGTGGGAATCAGTGAATGTAAATGTAGCTTCATCCTGTGTTCTTGGCTGCAGCTGCAGGTGTGTGAGCTGATGTGAAGTGAGCAGCATGGATCAGTGTGAGGACAGAGAGGACAGAGTCCCTCCCTCTAAAACCACTCTGTGTGGAGAACATGAGGACCAGAGCAAAGCTCAGAGGTCAGATCACCATCTCTAACTGTCCAGGACTCTTCTCCATGTCAGACCCAGAGATGGCAAAAGTACTCACTTTCCATACTTGAGTAAAAGTACAGATACTTGTGCTAAAAATACTCTGGTAAAAGTGGAAGTACTGATTAAACTTCTTTACTCAAGTAAAAGTAACAAAGTACAGGCTTGTAAATTTACTTAAAGTATAAAAGTAAAAGTAGAAACCACTTTTTTCATGCCGTTGCCTACATTTTAAATGGATGTCTGCCAATAGGACTAGATCTCCGTTGTGTTCATTTTCAATCATCTCGTCGTCCATGCTACTATGCTAACGCCACCGCCACCAAGCTGCAATGATTTGCCGCCAATGAATACCGCCGAATCTGTCGATTCATCTTGTAGTGGTGCGTCAATGCAACGTAGATTCCCATCCAATTAGATTGAATTTGGTATTGATGACGTGAAAAATAATAATGGTAACTCCATTGAAATGATTCAAAACTAAAGTAACGAGCCAATTTTTTAAAATGTAAGGAGTAGAAAGTACAGATATTTGTGTAAAAATGTAAGGAGTAGAAGTAAAAAGTCGCCATAAAAATAAGTAGTAAAGTAAAGTAAAAATATCAGAAAAATTTACTTGAGTACAGTAACGAAGTATTTGTACTTCATTACTTCCCATCTCTGGTCAGACCTCAGCATGAACATCAACAAACCATCTTTATTCACAGGAAACCAGCAGAATCAGAACCTGGACCAGAACCCAGCTGTGTGTCTTTTAAGAGCAATGATTCAAAGGACTTTTATATTAATTTTAACTCAGATCAACCTTCATTAGCAAACAGTCGAGCTGTTTCTAAATGTTCCACTGATCTGTATAACTTCATTCCAACACATTAATGTGAACACAACTCTTTCTCACACGTTTTCACATGTGAAGCAGTGAGTGATGGAGGCTAAATAATGGAAATAATCAAAGGATTGAGATGATTGATTTATTGAGATGATATGAAATGATCTTGTTAGATGATATTGGAGCTAAAATCGATTGTTCTTCCATCCAGTTGAATCTTTCTGGATCACTTTGTGTCACCTTAGTGAACCAGAGTTGGTGCTTCTGCAGAGCTTAAGGTGATGCACATGTAGTCAAGTCGTGATGCTGATCCTTTTAATTAAACTGTTTTTTTCTTCTGGATGTTTTTCCACTAATTCAGTCTCCAGTGATTTCAGGGTAAACATTGTTGGAGGTGTTTCTAAGTGTCTGTAGTTCACCTGTTGGTCCAGCAGGGGTCAGGCTGATTTCTCATGAAGTCAAAATTCAGATGAATCACTTTACAGAAATAATCAATGACAGAATAAGTTGTTCCCAGTGTGGACTCTAGATTTTGTCCATGATTTTGGGCTTATGATAGTTTACTTAATACAAAAAATGATTGGAAGAAAAACACATTTTTCCATCCCTTTTGTGTTTTGACCCATGGGGGATCATGCACAGACATCCAAAGTCTCCCCAAAGTTCTGGGAGTCTCCCTGATATAGATAGTTGTTCACAGATACCCGCGAGGCGGATAAATGATCCCGGATTTTCAACTATGAGAGGTGGTGTTTTTTAATTCCATGAGAGCGGGCAGGCAGTACAATAATTCATGCATCTTGTGCGGATTAGAACTACTGAGATTGCTCAGACAACAAGACAGAGCAGGATGTGGGGGAGAAGTTGCTGGTGAAACCTACCTCATTTAAAATGAAAAGAATGAAATAGATCCAAAGAACCTATCAGTAACCATATGTGTTCCAGTGCAGATCATTGTTAGAATTTCTTTTAAGTATTATGTATTCAGCACAGGGGCCATAACAGGGGCCAGGACATGATCTACAGGGGCACTGGCCCCCGTTGGCCCCTGTCTAGAACCAGCCATGGTGAGGAATGATGACACCGTGGCGAGGTGCACTGTATGCTGAAGTCCCTCTCTCTCTCTCTCTCTCTCTCTCTCTCTCTCTCTCTCTCTCTCTCTCTCTCTCTCTCTCTCTCTCTCTCTCTCTCTCTCTCTCTCTCTCTCTCTCTCTCTCTCTCTCTCTCTCTCCCTCCCTTATCTAAGAATTGTTGCTGTGCTGTGGTGGAGTTTACATTTTACAGTGTTAATAAATTAAGATTTTGGAAATATTTTAAGTGTCCACTCTCACTAATTTCCATTAACCTGGTCTCAAGATATTGCACAGTTGGTATTGCACAATTGGTATACACATTCAGTACACACAAAAAAAAAATGTGATGGGCCAGTCTAGTCCAAAATGCCAGGGCCGATTTTTTTGTCCCAGTCCACCCCTGGTTGAAGATACTGGCTCCTATTTAGTGACCGTGGAGCAAAGGTGATTGGATGGATGGTTAGGATGGAGGAGTTGGCCCCAGGGATACTAGAGTCTGGGTTTGAGTCTAGTTGGAGGTCAAATGATTGCCTCAGATCGCCCCTGTCGTCTTCCTCATCTGGTTCGGCTCTCTGACACCCAGGGTAATAAAAGTCGTCCTCTTTTAGAAAAGGATTTGTAGCCTTCGGTTGATAAGGTGGAGTCAGAGCAGAGAGCTGCAGGCTTGCACTAAACTGGGATACAGGCTGGAGGTGCTCAGTGGTGCCGTTGGAGACGAACCCGCGGTCACAACAGTTGAAGCAGAAGAGTAAGACAAAAGAAAGATGTGCATTAGTAAATAGAACAACTATGAATTTTCTTATGTTGTTCTTGTCATTATACTATATGTTATATTCTATTATGAGATGTTTTCTTATTTTGAATGCTCATAATTACTCCAGATCGTTGTTTTATCGCTTATTTTGTTGCAACACTACTCTACTTTTCCTTAGTAAGACCTACAACCTGTCTTAAAATAGACTTACCCTCAGCCTATTTAAGGTATACCATTTAAAACCTCGGTCTTAAAAATGACTTACCCTCAGCCTATTTAAGGCCTAGCATTTAAAAACTCAGTCTTAAAAAAAATTACCCTCACCCTGGGAGAGGCCTACCATTTAAAAAAACGGTCTTAAGAAAGATTTACCCTCAAATCTTTTGACTGCCTACTTAATGTTATAACAGTATTTTAGTTTTTTTTTTTTTTTTTTACCTTTTAAATGACTTTGTTAGTTTTCTTCCTCTCTGTCTCCTGAAGTTATTGTCCTCCTGTCAAGATCAATCCACTCGGCGGGGCATCAGAAGAGTCCTCCTTCTCTGAGATGGCCTATTTGAGGTAGAGGAAAAGCCCATATGGTTTTGGTGTTCAGCCCTTCTTCTGGAATCCATTGAGTGGACGGATCAGCGAAGGATCCTGTTTGTGATGCCAAATTGTGAAGTAAAAATGAGCACTGAGAGTTGATATGCAAGGAAGAAAAGGTTTTATTTTACTCTGCAGAGCGACAGCTGAATACAGCTCTCAGTGTGGCTCTGGGGTGGTGGCATCCCACCCCTGCATATAAAGAGACTCCACATGCATGAACATTGTTTCTTCAGTTCATCAAGGACATAAATTTAGTCAGATAAACACTTCAGACAACTGTTTGCCATCCATCCATACCAGAAACACGGCGTTAGAACATTGAACACAGTGAGGACATTCTTATCTAAACTAGGGAGGGAATTTCTTCTCAGGCTTCTAAATAATCACCCTATTCAGGCAGAGAAAAGGCAAACTTTTAAACATTTTATCTCACAAACAGGCCAAGGAAAAATATGATTCCACAAATACAATCTGATTTTTAACCAATTGAACATCCAACCCTTTTTATCTGATTGTATTTAACTCAAAGATTTAAGTGTGACACCTTAAACAAACAGCATTTTTTCAGATATTGAGGGACAGTTTTACTGGTGGTAAATATACACTACTCAAAATAAATAAAGGAACACTTTGTAAGCAGAGTATAGCATCAACTAAATTAAACTTCTGGGATATTGATTTGGTCAGGTAGGTAGCAGAGGGGGTTGTTAATCAGTTTCAGCTGCTTTGGTATTAATGAAATTAACAGGAATGGTTTTACAGGTGGAGGCCACTGACGTTTTACCCTCCTCGTCTTTTCTGACTCTTTCACCAGTTTTGCATTTGGCTAAGGTCACTGTCACTACAGTTAGCATGAGGCGCTACCTGGACCCTACAGAGGTTGCACAGGAAGTCTAACTCTTCCAGGCCCTGTGCTCTCTGCCTGGCACTGTGGAGCTCGATTGTCATTTGCCACAGAACACCAGACCTGGCAAGTCGGCCACTGGTGCCCTGTGATTTTCACAGATGAGAGCAGGTTCACCCTGAGCACATGTGACAGACGTGAAAGGGTCTGGAGAAGCCGTGGAGAACATTATGCTGCCTGTAACATCGTTAAGCATGACCGGTTTGTGGGTGGGTCAGTGATGGTCTGGTGAGGCATATCCATGGAGGGACGCACAGACCTATACAGGCTAGACAACTGCACCGTTAGGTATCGGGATGAAATCCTTGCACCCATTGTCAGACCCTATGCTGGTGCAGTGGGTCCTGGGTTCCTACTGGTGCACGACAATGCCAGGCCTCAATTTGGCGAGAGTATGCAGGCAGTTCCTGGAGGATGAAGGAATTGATACCATTGATTGGCCCCCCACGCTCACCTGACCTAAATCCAATAGAACACCTCTGGGACATTATGTTTCCATCCATCCCACGCCGCCAGGTTGCACCTCAGACTGTCCAGGAGCTCAGTGATGCCCTTGTCCAGATCTGGGAGGGGATACCCCAGGACGCCATCCGTCGTCTCATTAGGAGCATTGTAGTAAAAGAAAATTCACCTGTAAAAATACCTAAACTTTATTTTTCTTTGAAAATTTAATATACGACCTTGAAGTTAGGCTGGGATTTCCATTTATATTCATGAAAACTGTTTTTACTCTAGGGCAAAGAAATGTCTTGCTGCAGCCTTTTTCTTACTGAAAACCTAGTTTTTTTCTGTCTGTGACTTGTCCTGTTAGCTTTCTGCAGATGTTGGACCATGTTTATCATGAAACAAACAAATTCATCTCAAGATTAAACCTTTAACCTTCCGTAGACTTTGCTCTGTCTGATGAACTTGGCTTCATCGATATTTTCATGAACTGATCATTTAAGGTTTAATTCCTGAGTCTCCAGCTTCCTGTTAGTCATTGAAACAGAGCAGCTCCAGCCTCTGATCAAAGACTAGGATTAAATTTACTGATCCTTCACTAGAGATAGATTTAGGAATGGGAAACACTGGTAGGAAGACATTTCTCTAAAAAAAATAAAACTACAACAGGAGCTGCAGGTGTGCAGCTTAATGACACAGAAATATTTCAGAGACATTTTAAAGAACGAAGAAAATAACTGAATGGCTGTCATTGATTTAAGTTTTTTTTAAATCATATTTGGTCTATTTTGACATTAATAATTAAATCATTTTAAATGTTAAACCTATGACTAGTGAATTTCTCCGCTGTGAGATCAATAAAACTCATCTAATCTAATATTTAATGGACTTACACAATTTTCACTTCTGTATAGTGCTGAGCATCAGAAACTCAAACTTCTTTGCTATAGAAAGTTGTCCCTGAGAAAAGTGAAAACACATGTCATGGTTATTGTGACTGTGACGAATCCACATCCTCTAACTTTGCGCGCCACACACACATTCCTGTTATACTGTGCTTGTGAGGACCAATCCGCTCGCCCTGAGCCCAGTACCTCTATTAACTTAAAACACACAAGCTGTTCCTGGTTACCTGCTGGCGTATTGAGGGTGCACACTTAATATTTCAGTGGGGTTAGCCGTGTGTGTGTGTGTGTGTGGGTGTGTGGGAGGTGTGTGTGTCTGTACGTGTTTATGCTATGGGGACTTGTCATCTTCAGTCTGGCTGCGTCTTTGCTGGGTTCAAACCCAGTTTGGTGTAATTGAATAAGTCAATGAATCTGTGTAAAATAATTAAGTTGTAAAAATTATTTGTTTTTGTACATCAATTGTTTGTGGAGGTAATATATGGACAAAACTGATTTATGAGAAGAAATCAGAAATAAGAGAGCCTGAGGGGAGGGGCTTAAACTATTTAATGAGGGCTGTGGGAAGAAAAGCGGCAATTTCTGTTTTCTGTTTCTTTGTTACATTGCTGGTAACTGGAGGGAGGCTGAGGCCCAGAGGATCTTGTATATGTTTAGTTTCTTTTGCACCCTGTTTTGAGTTTTTGAGCACAATAAATCACCAACACCGGTAACCCAACTGAGCCTGGATTCTTGCAGGCCAAAGAACCCCGTCACAGTGACCCAAATCATCACTGTTACTGTTATTATATAGTACATTAAATCATTACTGTTAAATTGTATGTATTGTCCAATTGTTTATTTGAATTCTTATTCCGGATTAGTTGGAGACATACACTAGGCTATATCAGCCCCACCAAAAATATTTTTCACCAGCCGCCACTGGCTACAAGGACCTTGGTCTTTGTCTGTTTGCTGTTCTACAGAATGTGAGTTAATGCTTCCTTGTTCTTCCACAGAGTGAACCAGCAGAACTATGAGGTCCCCAGTGATCCATCTGCCCAGCAGCATCAAACCCAGCTGGATTCCATATTTATGGTCTGTACATGAACTACAAACTACTTCTCCATGGGTTCTGTTCACAGTCATCTCCATGTTGCACTTTGTAGACCAGAGGACTGTCAGTCTGTCCAACATGGATCTGATGTTTGGCTCCATGATTTCAGTCTGATGTGTCCTTTATTTATTGTTCTGTTCAGCTGCTGGAGGAAAACATTATTAGTTTTGTGAAGAAGGAGCTGAAGAACATCCAGAAAGTTCTGAGAGCAGAAGATCCAGAAGGCTTGGAGAGTCAGTGGGAGGATGAGGTGTTGGAAGATAAGAATGAAGAGCAGAGGAGGAGCAGAGAGGCTTTTGTGAAGATCACTCTGAACTTCCTGAGGAGGATGAAGCAGGAGGAGCTGGCTGAACGTCTGCAGAGCAGTAAGTTGTTTTCTACAAATATTTAACCTGATGGATGAATTATTAATTTATTCCAGTAAGAACATAAAATCATTTGACAGGAATTATTTCAATGCTAATAATACACTTTCATCTTTCAGAGGTTATTGCCTCAGTTTGTCAACATAACCTTAAATCCAATCTGAAGAAGAGGTTCCAGTCTGTGTTTGAGGGGATCGCTAAAGCAGGAAGTCCAACCCTTCTGAACCAGATCTACACAGAGCTCTACATCACAGAGGGAGGGACTGGGGGGGTCAATGATGAACATGAGGTCAGACAGATTGAAACAGCATCCAGGAAACCACACAGACCAGAAAGAACAATCAGCCAAGAAGACATCTTTAAAGTTCCACCTGGAAGAGATCAACCAATCAGAACAGTGATGACTAAGGGAGTGGCTGGAATTGGGAAAACAGTCTTAACACAGAAGTTCACTCTGGACTGGGCTGAAGGCAAAGCCCACCAGAACATCCAGTTCATATTTCCATTCACCTTCAGAGAGCTGAATGTGCTGAAAGAGAAAAAGTTCAGCTTGGTGGAACTTGTTCATCACTTCTTCACTGAAACCAAAAGAATCTTTAGCTTTGATCACTTCCAGGTTCTGTTCATCTTTGATGGTCTGGATGAGAGTCGACTTCCTCTGGACTTCCAGAACAACGAGAACCTGACTGATGTTACAGAGTCCACCTCAGTGGATGTTCTGCTGACAAACCTCATCAGGGGGAAACTGCTTCCCTCTGCTCTCCTCTGGATAACCACACGGCCTGCAGCAGCCAATCAGATCCCTCCTGAGTGTGTTGGCATGGTGACAGAGGTCAGAGGGTTCAATGATCCACAGAAGGAGGAGTACTTCAGGAAGAGGTTCAGAGATGAGGAGACGGCCAGCAGGATCATCTCCCACATCAATAGATCTAGAAGCATCCAGATAATGTGCCACGTTCCAGTCTTCTGCTGGATCACTGCTACGGTTCTGGAGGATGTGTTGGAGACCAGAGAGGGAGGAGAGCTGCCCAGCACCCTGACTGAGATGTACATCCACTTCCTGGTGGTTCAGACCAAAGTGAAGAAGGTCAAGTATGATGGAGGAGCTGAAACAGATCCTCACTGGAGTCTAGAGAGCAGGAAGATGATTGAGTCTCTGGGAAAACTGGCTTTTGATCAGCTGCAGAAAGGAAACCTGATCTTCTATGAATCAGACCTGACAGAGTGTGGCATCGATATCAGAGCAGCCTCAGTTTACTCTGGAGTGTTCACACAGATCTTTAAAGAGGAGAGAGGACTGTACCAGAACCAGGACAAGGTGTTCTGCTTCGTCCATCTGAGTGTTCAGGAGTTTCTGGCTGCTCTTCATTCCCATCAGACCTTCATCACTTATGGAATCAACCTGATGGAAGAAGAACAAAAAAAGACTTCCTTTTTATTTAAATTATCTAAGACAGTAAAACTAAGAACTCTCTATCAGAGTGCTGTGGACAAGGCCTTACAGAGTCCAAATGGACACCTGGACTTGTTCCTCCGCTTCCTCCTGGGTCTTTCACTGCAGACCAATCAGACTCTCCTACAAGGTCTGATGATAAAGACAGGAAGTAGCTCACTGACCAATCAGGAAACGGTTCAGTACATCAAGGAGAAGATCAATGAGAATCTGTCTGTAGAGAAAAGCATCAACCTGTTCCACTGTCTGAATGAAATGAATGATCGTTCTCTCATCCAGGAAATCAAACAGTATCTAGGATCAGGAAGTCTCTCCACAAATGAACTGTCTCCTGCTCAGTGGTCAGCTCTGGCCTTCATCTTAGTGACATCAGGAGAAAATCTGGATGTGTTTGATTTGAAGAAATACTCTGCTTCAGAGGAAGCTCTCCTCAGGCTGCTGCCAGTGGTCAAAGCATCAAACAAAGCTCTGTGAGTACTAACAGAATTTGGGTTTGGACATCAAGGTTCAGTCCACATGTTGTGTCAATGGGAGGGAGTGGCTATCGACTGCTTCTCTGAGTTTAATTTTTTTAGACCATGTCAGATACATTTGATGAAAAAACTCGGCAAATGCATAAAAGCCAGTAAATCATTTCTCACTTCATTTTTTTCAAGGAGAATGAAGTTGTAACATCAGGAGGGAAAATCTGGAGAGGAATGTTGACTGAGAGGAGAAATAGGAGAGGGGAAACCACACATGGGGTTAATTGGTTTTGTAGAAATAGTTGCATACCAATAGTTTGGGTCAAGAGTAAAGTCTGGTTTTGTGGGTCAAAAAAGTTTGTGAACATGTTTTGTCTTTAAAGTGTGTAAGACATCTGTAAAAGTGGAATCCTTTTTAACAAAAAGCATTTAGATACATCTACCTGTAAAGTTGAACTTGCGGTTGGCCTAGGTGTTTCTTTAATTAACTATGAAAACTGGTATTGGATTGTACCCATTTTTTTAGACTTTGTGAGATGATGAATTAAAAAAAATGCAACCATAATCAAACGTAAACCTACTGAGATTCATGCAAATTGATTTCAAATATGGTCTGTCTGTTCCCCAGTCATGCAAACCAAATATCTCATTATACTTAGTATTTTATATATATTTGAATATACCTTTACATTTTTTTTTATTATAGTTTAATCTCCCCGAAATTGACTAATCATGCCTATTCCACTAAATTCATTTAAAAAAATTCAACCCAAATATCCAGTGAGTCTGCAATTTTGAACTTCTTAACCTCTTACACCCTAAGGGGGTATAAATAAATTTCTGCCTGACAAAAACACACAAAAGTAAATCACTTATAGCCTCACAGCTATTAGATTTAAGAAGAAACTTTTGGTACGTCTGTAAAGGTAAGATGTCATAGAATGGTTTTCTGGTGTCAGAACCATTATAGCTTTGACCCTGCCTGAAATATTAGGGACAAAATACAAAATATTTTGCATTTTTTGAACCTCGCCAAAATTTTCTTTGAAATAAACATTGCAAAATACTACCAAAATATTATTTATAGCACAAAAAAGTAGTACAGACTTTCAAATCTAAATGTTGTGTAAAAATATACCAAATTTGGACTCAATCGGATGAATCATATTTATTTTAGAATGGTATTAGTGAGAAATTTCTTAGGCGGAGAGGCCATTTTGGCACATTTATCCATAAATGTCACCAAACTGTGCCAAATAGGTTTTTTACATCAATACTGGGGGTTTGGTAAGATTACGAGGTCACGTAGCAGCCGGACCCGCCGGCGGGTCCGTAGGGTTCAAGGGGTTAAAATCCAACTATTTCAGAAACTGATCTACCTATTGAAAATAAAACATTTTTGTTGTTTTCTTGTTTCTTTCTCTATCTATTTCTATCTCTCTCTTCAGACTGAATCGCTGTAACCTCTCAGAGAGAAGCTGTGAAGTCCTGTCCTCAGTTCTCAGCTCCCAGTCCTCTAATCTGAGAGAGATGGACCTGAGTAACAACAAGCTGCAGGATTCTGGAGTGGAGCTGCTGTATTCTGGACTGATGAGTTCAAACTGCAAACTGGAAATTCTCAGGTCTGAACAGAAGTCCAGGACACGTTTGTAGCCTGGTTTTATAACTCCATTTATGATAATTGTTTATATGATGAAGTTGGTCAGCATTGAAAGATTTTTTACAGCGACTTTAAAAAGTTGCACCAAAACATTATATTACCAGCTATAAATAAACCCTGTAGATTCAGGTTGAGATGAGGTTAAAGTTGGACTGAACCTGAACTTAATTTTACTTTCAGATTTTATTTAAAGACATAAGTTAAAGAGCTTCACCAATTTTTACCCAAAACAATGTCAGGCTGAATATGAACATTGCTTGTACTAAAGAAAAATATGCTCAAATCCACATAACTCCATGTAAGATGCAATAAGACTCATCATTGGAATAAATCCCAGCCCTTTATCACCCCTCTCACGTGATGTACATGTGGAAACCTTTCCCTACCAAGATAATAATTATGATTTTGTGAAATTTTGCAATCATGGCTGTGCAAAAAAAAAAAAAAATGCTGCAAGACTGAAACAAAGAAAAAAATGTTTTTTTTTTTCTATTCAATTCAATTTTCAATTCAGTTTATTTATATAGCACCAATTCACAACAGATTACATCTCAAGGCACTTTACAGTTCAACCAGATCATACAGTCAAATTGATTCAAAGTATTCTATCCTAGGAAAACCAGTTGATTGCATCGACTCATTGACTCTTCAGCAATCCCTCACACTAAGCATGCTTGTAGCGACAGTGGAGAGGAAAAACTCCCTTTTAACAGGAAGAAACCTCCAGCAGAACCAGGCTCAATGTGAGCGGCCATCTGCTGAGGCCCACTGGGGTTCAAGGAGACTGAAGCAGAGAAACAAAAGGCAGCTGTAAAACACACAGCCAGGCAGACGAGCTCCGAGCCAGCTTCCGTCTCAGAGGATGAAGAGAGCACATCCAGCTAGTCACGGTCAGAGAAACAGGACCACACTAGAAAACAGACCGATCTCCAGTATCTATAAACAAACTAAAAGATCTGCCTCCCATTCTGGTGTTAAAGGAGGGATTGTCGTTAAAGGAGAGATTGTCACCTGTAATACCTGAAACCTGTCTATGATTGTGAAAGGTCAGTTGTTAAAGGGGGGATTGCTCACCTGGCTGAAGAGAGGAGGTACTTTCCTCCACTGTGAAGAGGTTGGGGTTGTGGTGATACGTGGAAGGAATCAACTCAATAACTGAATTGTTTTTGGAAGCTGGAATCTGAGTCCACCTCCTCTGTTTAAGGTTGTTTTTATTCTCTTACCATAGATGGCTTCCTTCACACCCCTCTCAAAAACCACCTATTTTCTTTATCCAAAATGTGAACATTCTGGTCCTCAAAGGAATGTCCTTTGTCCAAAAGGAATAGGTGTACTGCAGAGTCTTGTCCCGAGGGGGTCGCTCTGTGTTGGGCCATGCGTCTGTGGAGAGGTTGTTTGGTTTCTCCAATATAAAGATCAGAGCATTCCTCGCTCACTGAACAGCATATACCACTCCGCTCATATTCGGTCTGGGGATTTTTGACCAAACTAGAAAACAGACCGATCTCCAGTATCTATAAACAAAGGTGTTGATGGCAGCAGCACAGCTGATATTTCTCTCCAGGATGGAGTTACAGCCAAACAGGAACAGACCAGATGAAGCTACTATGAGAAAAAGCAGAGAGAGCAGAACGTTAAGATTGAGCTAACAGATTCTGCAGAGTGGGAGAATAGAGAGAGAATGAAGCAGAATGATGAAAAGGGGTCCCTATGTCCTCCAGCAGTCTAAGCCTATAGCAGCATAACTATAGAGATAGCTCAGGATAACCTGAGCCACTCTAACTATAAGCTTTATCAAAAAGGAAAGTTTTAAGCCTAGCCTTAAAAGTAGACAGGGTGTCTGCCTCACGGACTAAAACTGGTAGTTGGTTCCACAGGAGAGGAGCCTGATAACTAAAAGATCTGCCTCCCATTCTACTTTTAGAAATTCTAGGAACTACTAGTAAACCTGCAGATTGGAATGGGTGATGATGCTCTTTGGAATGCAGACGTCCTCAATGCATTTGTTGATGTAGGCATTTGTTCATGTTATATTATGGGATCATAGATATGTCTGGTAGATTTTTTGTGAACAATTGTGTTATATTAAGGGGTCATAGAATGCAAATGCAGTATTGAAGGCTTCACAGAGGAAGGGGAAATTTGTCACAGTCTACCCAAGGATCCCAAGACTTGACAGGAATGGATAATGTTTAAGTATCAGAAGATCCCTGCAAAGTTTGATGCTCAGCTGTTTATTTGCTCTAAACATTTAACTGAAGAAAGCTTCTAACATCTTGGACAGATTAAAGCAGGATTTGCTAAGCTTCTTTTAGTGAAACGAGGAGCTGTTCCGACCCTAAGGGCATGGCTATAAAGTGTCGACTGCTGGGGAAGCATGGGGCCGCCGGCTACCGTCATCGTGATGGGTTTGGTTGCTCCCCGATGGCTCCCTGCCTCCTTCCGCTGGGGTTCCCGGACCAGCCCCGGAGCTGACGGCTTAGTTTGAGTACCCAGTGTATTTCGACTACGTACTCCACTGTAGTCGACCAAAATCCAGGACGATTTTGAAATTCGCCCCGGATATTTTTTTGGTATGAAAAGTCGGATATGTTTGGGAAAAAAAGGACTTCTGGTCTTCCTACCATATACACAAGTTGATATTTCAGTGAGTGAGTGCACAGCTCATCTACATATTCATGAGCATACCATAAAAGGAAGAAAACCTTTTGTTTCATTCTATGGCTTTTTACCAGGCTTGCATTAGGAATCATAGAAAAGCAAATATGCCATTTTAAGCCCAACCAATGTTACACACCCTATTCAGAGACCTTAGAGACCAGCACCAATCACCGTATAGAATTATTCTATGACCCCTTTGGGAATATGTTTTCGACAGGCACCTACGCTTTAGGAACGTCTGCGTTGCACATAGATTCTAACCAGTTAATCTTGCCACCATTTAATCTATTACAACAGGTTCATCATTGGATTGCCAATTAGAAGAGGGAGGATTTGCCATTGAACCTCTGGCCAGAGAGAAAACACGTAGTATTTAGCCAACATTTCAAAGAATGTTTTCAAGATGACTTGGATAATAGTGCCTTGTGACAAACACCAAATAGAGCATTGGGACTTGGGATCAACAGCCAATATCGCACCGCAGTGGTGTCAAAAGTACACACTTTTGTTACTTAAGTAGAAGTATAGATACTTTTTCCGTAAAAATTCAAAAAATATCCACTTGAATTTTTACAGAATGACTATGACCTGGATGACTGAGAACCTTCATCAGCAAGTATAGATACTGCAATTTAAAAACACTCTGGTAAAAGGTAAAGTATCAATTTGACCTCTTTACTCAAGTAAAAGTGAAAAAATATATGCTCAAAAAACTACTTAAAGTATAAAGTAACCTTTAAAGAAACAGCCAGATGCCACTATGTGAATTGCTGGTGAAGATTCTCAGTCATCCAGGTCATAGTCATTCCGTAAAAGTTTAAAAAAAAAACAATTCACTGGACTTTCTTTACCAGGTTTGAAGATGTTTCACTTTCCCTGCAGGAAGCTTTCTCAATTCAAAATGTCCGGATTCGCATTGAATTTGAGGCCTTTTATAATGGTCCAAAAACAAGGCCTTGTATTGCTTGGAAATATGCAAATTGAAACTGATAAGCGGGTCGTTTGGTTCCATTGTTAGCCTGTAATGCCTGAAACCTGTCTATGATTGTGAAAGGTCAGTTGTTAAAGGGGGGATTGTTCACCTGGCTGAAGAGAGGAGGTACTTTCCTCCACTGTGAAGAGGTTGGGGTTGTGGTGATACGTGGAAGGAATCAACTCAATAACTGAATTGTTTTTGGAAGCTGGAATCTGAGTCCACCTCCTCTGTTTAAGGTTGTTTTTATTCTCTTACCATAGATGGCTTCCTTCACACCCCTCTCAAAAACTTAGGTTAGAATCCAAATTTTCAGCATGAACTGTGAAAATCAGTGAAATCAGCGGTTTATGGTGAGCATGAATGAATGATGGATGTGGAAGTGTTGGATTGTGCAGCACAATCCTCTCCAAAGCTAAAGGCAGCAGCATACTTGTGGAGGAGGGCAGAGTCTAGTTAGTTGGCAGTCAGGGTTTATAAACTAAGGGTTTTACCAGGTCCTTGGGGGCCCCAGTAATCAGTTCTGGATAAAAATGGTAAATGCCCAAACCTACCACAAGGGTCCTACAGGGGTTAGAGCAGTGGAGAATAAATACTGACCCAATGTATGGTTTCTATTTTTATCAGAGCAAACTTTGATCATTCTGATTGTTCATGGATTGAGGCAAAGTTTTCTGTCGAAATAATCTCTGTTTTTTCTTCCGTGACTTGTTTCATTTTGTCTTTCAGACTTAGATCCTGTAACCTCTCAGGGAGAACTTGTGAAGTTTTGTCATCAGTTCTGAGGTCCAAGTCCTGCTGTCTGAGAGAGGTTGACCTGCAGAAAAACAACCTCCAAGATTCAGGGGAGAAGTTTCTGGCTGGTTCAGAGGGGACACTAGAAATATTCAAGTGAGTATTCATCAAACTGGTTCTTCTAGGTTCTAATGAGGCACAGTGTTCTCTTTTTCACAGATCCAAATGGTTTAAATGCTACATTGATGATGTTCTGATAGATCCTTCTGAGTGTGGCATATCTAATAACAGATAGTGTGATGGTGGGAAAATCTCGATTTTCCCACTCTGATTTAGCACATCTGGAGCATCTGTCCATCAGTTTAGTTGCTCTGACCATCCTTCTGGGTTGCGTTTTCATCAGTAACTAACACAGCTGTCTATATTCCACCTCATGCAGATAAAGATAGAGGTGTGACTCCATTGTATGATGTGTTCAGTGAAGATCAGAACAGTCACCTGGAAACTGCTCCTATCATAGCAGAGGACTTTAATAGTTCAAGTCTCAGACAGGACAGGACTCTTTGATGAAGATCTTTGAGCAGATGAAGCTGCTGTAGCTCATCTTGTCCAGGAAGCAGAGCTGATAGTACTGAAAAACCAGCTTGATTGTCTCTCATCTCATCAATCAGCTGAAGTCTTACTGTAGATGTTGGACTAAATCAACCTTGATGATGTGAGAACTCTTCGAACTGGAGATGAAGAACCAGACTGTATGGTGTCCTCCTCCTGCCTGATGTAAAAAATGAAATGAAAAGAATTAGTTCAAACTGGGCTGAAACATGACAACTAGAGGACAGGACTTGGTCATGGGCTTAGGTTTTCAGAGGGACAATAGGGACATGTCCCTACCGAAATTTTGGACTGACCTACTTGTCCCTACCAATAATTAAATGTGAATAACATGTTTATAATTTACAATACAGCGATGTTGCTGCAGTTGCTTCTTTTCCTCTCGCAGCTCATCTGCCTGGTAGCTGCTGCTGCCGCTTTTATGCACTGGGGAGTCACTAAGACAAAGCGGTGGTATCACACTAGAATACCATGGTTAGTACAATTAATTTTTGGTTGGAAAATTAATTAAAAAACCAAATATTATCTATGCTAAAACAGAGGCGAGAGCTTCTGATTGCAGTTCCGTAAAGAAGCAGGAGAGTGTTTTGATTTGTGTAACCAACCTTAGCATCTCAAAAATAATATTTAATTCTGAAGTATAATACATTTTATCAATAAAGCCCCCTTTTTTCTTTTTTACAAAAAAATAAGTATTCTGTATCAGACAAGAGTTCTGCAGTCTGCTGGAAAAATAGACAAGCAAAAACTAAGCTGTCAAAAATTCTGATTCTTTGCCACAGCCGACTGAAAAAGAAAATCTGATGAATAAATCTTTGAGGCAGCTCAGCTATAAATAGCATATAGCAGCTGTTATTTCTTTAATAGAGTATAAAAACATGAGATGGCACCTAGACATCTGCTATTTTTTGTTTAGAAAGAATAATTAGGGTTCCCCATGATAATAGTGATATTTAATTGACTATTTCTACTTCTGGAAATACGGTAAAGACAAGAACAAACAGAGGAACGCTATTTACATTGATTTTATTTTACATAGATTCCCACATAATCTATAAGTAAATTAGTACAAACATCAGTGTCTGGTAAAAATACTTGAATCTGGGATTTACATTACAGATAAGAAAGTGTTATATTTTCTTTTAATAAATGTTAAAATTCTTAGTGATGTGCTTTGTAGATGATGCCACTAAAAAGGAAAATTGACATAAGAAGCTATTTTAACCGCCAGCCAGGAAGTAACATAGGATGAAATAAAGGCTTTGATATTGACAACACTCTTGTATGATAGTAACATATAATTTACAGGAAACGCAGCTATCCAGTAATAATAATGCAGGGCAGATTGAAGGTGAAGCAGCTGGACATTCAGTGTTTCAGATGATGTGAGAATAATTGTAATTACAAATTAAGGAGCAACATTTTTATTTACAGTATATACAATATAAATTTCACTTTGTATTTGATATGGCTGAATTTATGGAACTCATACAACGAATGGTGATGTTGCAGCAAAAGTAGAGAGAGAAAGGGCTTCAGGTAAGAGTTTAATATGGTTTAGAATTTTATTTTAATTTTATTTTTTCAGCTTTTATCGTCATTAGACTGTCACAAGTACAGAGCAACAAAATTCTCTGCATTTAAACCATCCCCTTGGTGAGCAGTGGGCTGCCATTGTGGGGTGCCCAGAGAGCCGTGTGGGGTTAAGGGTCTTGCTAAGAGACCCAGAGTGGCAGTCTGTGGGAGTGGGCTTGAACTCAAATGGTTGACCTGACACTTTGCCCTTTTGCCTGAGCTGGGTGTCGACGCAGTTTTTCCTTGTGTGCCTTCTTCTCACTGACATGAGAGTTACCCAACTCTTTTGCAAGCTCAACCAGGAAGTCCACCCGTCTCTCCTGCACCCCAATGCATGCCTGATAAAGCACATGTGCATTCAGTTCTGCCATGTCAATCATGTTGTAGAACACGGCAACTGGCCATCTCTGTGTTCCTGCATGCACACCGCACTTTGTTTTGTTGTATTGTGTAACTGTGTTTGGCTTCCTTTTGGTGTATCCACAGTCTCAACCACGCTGTGCATGCTGCTGAGAACGTAAACGGCCTTCTTCCGTTTGGGCGCAAACACTGTCAGCGTGGCACCAGTGGTTGAAAACACCTGAGTGGTAAATTCAGTGCGATCCATCTGTCTAGTGGATTGAGGAATTTCCCAGCTTCTCTTGTTGACTGTGCCGAGGATAGTGGTTTTCTGGCTAAGCAGTTGCAAGTGACAGTGATGTAAAGAAATTGTCTGTGGTTACAGTTCTGCCTTTGTCCATGAATGGTTCCATCAGCCTCATCACTACAGTTTCGGACAGTCTCTCCCCACTGGGACGACTGGGGTCCTTGCCAATATATGGAAAGACATTACAGATGTACTTTGATTTCAAGTCGCAAGCCACCCAAAACTTGATGCCAAACTTGTCCGGTTTTGTTGCAATGTATTGCAGGAAACAGCAGCGAGTCTTTGATGGAAAAAGCTGTTCATCAATAGGGATGTGTCGACCAGGGTTGTAGGATGCGATGCAGTTAGTGACAAACGATCCCCAAACATCGGAGCTTGCAGCAAACTTATCAGTCTCCGCTCGCTCACTGCGTGTAAACATGTTATCAAAGCGTAGGTGTCGCATGATGTCTTGGAAGCGGTTTCGAGCCATAGTTGCAATGATCCTTGGGTTTGCCAGGTTTGCTGACCAGCTGTCACATAGTGATGGAACCTTGGTCACCCCCCGCAAGATAATGACTGAAATAAATGCCGTTAGTTCCAGGAGATCCATGAACCAATCCAGCTGCTCCGTGTGACGTGCATGTTGAGTAGTCCATTCTCGAATGCTACGAAGCATGTCAAAAGTGATAAAACAGAGGAAGCTCTGAAGGCGACTCCGAATACTTCGTCTGGCCTTAGCGCTTGGCTCTCCATCTGTGGCGTACGGTTGAATTGGAGTGAAATGGAGATGTGTCCCCACTTGTTCTTCATGCCACACTGTGCCATCTTTCGCGGTGTCTGACGGCTCACTCCCCAAACAACCTCTCTTTTTTGGTAGAGGGAGAGTCTCTTCATCTGCAAGATAAACAATTTCAGATTAACTTTTTGTTTGGTTCTAAATAAAAAATAGTCAGGAAAATAAAATAGGTAGGTTGAGAAATCTAATGTGAAGTCCGAATCCGGTTGAAGGTCACTGTCTTCTCCATCTGAATCACAAGGGCTGGCACTGTTCAGAATCAGTTCCAATGCCTTCTGAGTGGTGAACCTCTTCTGCATTTTGTTTCTTGTGAACTAAATAGGTGAAGCAGTCACCTATTTATCCTCAACAGCCCAAAAGGCTGCATGCAAATTTCCATGTGCAAAGTCTCCCAGATTGATTGAAGAGGATTAGGGCCACTGGAAAAAAAAAAAAAAATTTAACTGATTTTTAAATTTTATTTCAGTTTAGTATGGGAAAAAAGTCAGAATTCTGACTTTTAATATCAGAATTCTGACTTTAATATCAGAATTCTTACTGAATTCTGACAATAAAAAAGTCAGAATTCTGAGATTAAAGTCAGAATTCTAAAAAAAAGTCAGAATTCTGAGATTAAAGTCAGAATTCTAAAAAAAAGTCAGAATTCTGAGATTAAAGTCAGAATTCTGAGATTAAAGTGAGAATTCTGAGAAAAAAAGTCAGAATTCTGAGATTAAAGTCAGAAATCTGACTTTTTTCCCATACTATACTGAAATAAAAAAAAAAAAAAATCAGTTAAATTTTTTTTTTTCAGTGGCCCTAATCCTCTTCCGTACTCTTTTTCTTACACTTTTTGCATGATTTTTTTTGAGGTGGATCAACACAATTTATTTGGTTAGGTTTCTACTGTAGCGCTGCCTCCATCATAGATCGCACCCACCCCCAACATGGAATATTCACACTCCTACCTTCTGGCCTGACGGTACAGGTGTGGAATGCTTTTGTGAGTTTGGCTCTCCTCCCCCCCTGCTGATTCCTCAGGCAATGGCCATATTTACAATTGAACAAGGGATGCTAATTTGAGCCATCCGAGTCGTCAGTTTGGACTCAGGGTCTTTTGACCCTCTTTCGGGACTTCAGGGGGAGGTCGAAAACCCTGGTAATTGTAGCATTAATCTGTGGACAATAAGGCTCGGGATCCACGTTGCATTGTGGGACGTCGCAGCCATACTGACTGCTACGCAAACGTAAACATAGCTCTGACACAACGTTGTTGTTGAAAGAAGAGACAGAAGTAGAGAGAAAAAAGATGTTAAAATCCCGAAAAGGATCTGGAATTTACCGGGACACATTAAATAGAGAAGCCACGGACCGGTATGTTGACAAAATCAGCATTATTAATAATTTGGATCCATATAAAGTTCCAAACAATGAATGGGGCACCGATGAGTGCGCGCCTATACTTCAAAACAGTTCCGAAGCTACAAGTCCTTGGAGTCTCATGTGCAGTTCATGAATGGATGGGTTCAGGAGCTGCAGATCATAAAGCCAGCAAACAGTGGGAAC